ATTTCCACTCCAACTAATAAACTCAAAAAAAAACTAAAAATGGTGACCATGAATACAAGGTCAAAAGGAATACATTTCAATGGGGGAAGATGCCTCTAAATCCTAAAGGCATGACCTACAAAAAAGGAAACATACAACCCTAATTAACTTGTGTAGTTTATTTTAAAATGATCTTTTATATTTTAAGAAATAAACGTGTATACCATCAATTTTGTCAAAGAAGAACTTTAGATTTCACTTATTATTCAAATTAAAGAAGTAAAAAGATTGAACATGTACACAAATTATCTTTCATTTTCCTATATAATAATATACATCTCGATCAAGCCACTAGGTCAACCTAGTAGTAAAGTTGAAATAACATGAATGAAATCCTAAATTCTAACTGCATTGAGGCCAATGTACACACAAAAAAATAATATACATCTCCATCTAATACAACATGTGTAAGTCCTTGTCATCTCTTGCCACCTTAGGGAGAAAAGGAATACATCCTAGGAAGTGCATGCGTACAAGCACATAACATGTTATCAACATATTCCGCATGTATTATCATGTATACTATATAATTTTCATGTACATAATTGTTCATGGCTTCAAGAGTCCTCAGAAAATATTTTGAAAATAAAGTCACGAAAACGCCTTGAATATTGTCTAGGATCAACTGCTGAAATTAAAGTTGGGTCATATTGAATAGACTTGTAAGCATGCTCAAGCTTCTTGCTAATGTCATAGTCTTGAAGTATGTCTATGATACCAAAAAATAAAACCACCTCATAGAACTCTCCAATTGGTTCTCCCACAAGTTGTAATTCACAATCACTTCTTCTTACCGTCCTTTCAACCCTGGCTGGCATATTTTGACCTAATTTGATACTCGCCCACCTACTAACTCAAAATACATATATGTATTATTCAACATGGTACGATTATAGTAATATATAAATATAAGTTTAAATATAAGTTTGTTCTTTGTAATTTACTATTTTTTCTTTAATTAACTGTAAAATTATTTTAACTTTCAAAATAGTTTTTTTTAATTAATTTATTATTTTATTTTAGCCTTTATATTATATATTTTTAATTTGTGAATAATCTTATAAATTTTTTTTGTAAAAGGAGTAACTCAAAATGAACAAAATATCATAATAACTAATATGAAAAATAGATATATTACTGTGACTAAAACAAAAAAGTAAAGATAAAAAAATTACAATAATCATTTAAAAAAAATTACCAAAATTAAAAGAACAAAATTTAAATAAAAGAGATAAAAGGTACAAATTATGCAACTTTGTGTCTTGTTGGAACACTAATTTTTCTAATTTCAATGGATCTACTTACAACATCTAAAATACAAGTTATTTAATTATATTTTTTATTTTATTTTATTAAGTTAGATATTGACACATCATTTTTAAATAATTTATAAGAAATTCACTACATTTTTTCTCTAAAGATAAAATTTTAAACAATTATGACTAAACATTTTTTTGGGTTTTTTCCCTCTCTTTTTCTCTGTTTGATGGTGAAAATAAATAATATTTAATTTATAAGCTTTCTTATATTATACAAGATACAAAACTTAAATTTAATAAGATACAATTTGTTTTACGTAAGTTGACTCCAAGAGTAAAAATAAATAAAACCCAATTGCTTAAATATGAGATAATCGTAAGATACTTGAGATACTAACGTTGTTCATACTCTTATGCCAAAATGTCAAAATTAAAATATATCCAAATGCAATTTATTGATAACCAGATCAATAGAAAGTAAGCATTTCTTTGGAAAACAAAAATTACCTTTATTAATTGAAGTAGTTGCATTATCATTGAATGACGTTATAATATAGAGACTATTGGGACTTTAACGAGCACCAGAAGATGCAACCTAATTGGATTTCTTTGAAAATTTTATAGAACCTTAGGATGAGTAGTTTTTATATCTGTTAATGGTGAGCTTAAGATGCAATTTTTAGGACATAACTCGTTTTGACTTCAACCATTATTTCAACGAAAAATTAAGTTATGAGCTTGTCGCATTACGAAAAGTGGTTCTCAATACACCAAGGTCGGTCCAAGTTGATTTGTAGAACACTGTGTCAAATAGACTCTCTAAATGACAAAACAACCTATTACAGTTGTTTTAAAACTTTGCATTAAAATTTCGGAGAGACATCTGACCTGGTTGGATCTAGAAGAAGTTGATCCATGTCTGCTCTTGAAATACAAGGAGTTCCTTCACTCTCTGAATCACCTATTGACAAATCAAAACATTTTTCTTAGTTTTCATTTCCAATTACGAATGTATGTATGGCATTGAGGTTGTAAACTATAATATAACATTGCCTCTGGCCTGCCTCATGTCAAAAATATAGGATAAGAAAAACACAGCATATATACATACACAAAATATTTAGATTGATGGTATATTCGTCATTCTAAATAATTTTCTTTGTTTTATATACAATAACAAATCTAAAAATCTCCAGGGATATTATTTCTTAATATTTTATATATTTTAAGGTGACTTAAAGTTAAAAAATAATATTAGTATCTGCCCATTTATATGAAAGTGTTATTAAGCGTCTAAAAGTCAAAACTAACACTTTTTCAAAAACAAAAAACAAAAGTCAAAACCAACAGAAAATTACTTTTTAATTAGATTATGTATATATGTTGGACAAGTGTTGATATTAAAAACACTTACAGTGTGTTTGGTTATTGTTAAAACCTTTCTTACTTCCGTTCAACCAAAAATTAAAAAAAAAAAAATGTTACTTTATATTTTTAAATATTAGAAAGAGGGAATGTCTCGTATTAATCATATTTTACAAATTGTAGAGTGCTTCATATAAGGATAAGAAAAGTACCAGCAGGAGTATGAGACCCAGAAGAAATAAGATCCCCATTTTCTGATATATCTTTGAAATGAATACCAACGAGTAGACTATAGTCCATAATTCCCTCCTGTTCCAGAAGCTCACAGTCCCTGTCAATTTGCCTGAGATTACAAACAAACACAATTGGGGTGCTTATTTTTTTTGTACATGTAATAAAAGAATTAAACTAATAAAAGGGTATATATGGAGCAACTTAGATACATTATTATGTACAAAGTGTGGAAAATTTTCATCACCTGCAAAATTCTTGAAACCTAGATTTTTGTAGCCGAAATATGAAATTTAGGTCGAGATCTTTAAGGATAGTAGTTTCACTAATCTCAGATTCAGGTTTAGTGGTTATTCGGCCAAGTGAAGAACCCTTCAAATCGAAGCGCCTGTGGATGGTATACTCAGAACAAAAGAGGTTGCCCATTATGATAAACCGAACCTGCAAATCAAAATATTTTATAAAGATTAAAGTTTAATAATCTTGATAAACTGTTAGAAATCACCTATGTCTTACATTGTGGAAAGAAGATAAGGGAGATAAGGGAGTAGAAAATTGTTTCAAATTTAAATACAAGAAAAAGTGCAAAAAAAAAAAAAGCAAAAGTGTTTTTTAAAATTTTTTTAAAGTTAATTTCTTCTCTAAAAAAATCATAATTATCTATGATTTTCTCTCTTTATTTTTATTTTCTCCTAATCAAATATATAATTAAAATAATTACTACAAAAGTGAACATGGCGGAAATCCATGATTAGATGAGAATACAAAAACCTCCCTTACTAGATTCTTAATATTACAATCTTAACCCGTTTTTATTTCATATTTCATGAAGCTACCAAACTACAACCATTTTTATAGTGCTATATCCTATATGAAAAAACAGTAATTGCAATGCAAGGATATGTTTGGTTAATTTTTTTTTTCCACTTTTACAAAGTAAAAATAGAAAATAAAAATAATATAAATTTGTCTATAAGCTAAAACTAATATATGCATAAGTTAATATTTAGAAGTTTTCTCTTGTAATTTGTCTAAAAAAGATTATAAATTAACTTGTGAGGAAATTTTTTCATTTTTTTTAAACAGGAGTGATAAATGAATGAATCGAATATTTTTTTAGACGAATTATAATAGATTGATTAAAAAAAATTCATTAAAAATTCAATCCACCCATTCCATTTAAAACAAAAAATCTATTCAATTCATCCATTAATATTTTTTTTTATGATTAAATATCCAATCCATCCATAAAAATAATGTTCTAAAAATTAAATAACTTTTATTTTTAGAATATTTTATTTCTCTCTCTTTTCTTTATAGATCATTACATTTTTATATAATCTTTTAAATTTCATAAGACTTTTTTTTAATGTCAAAATAACATTTTAAAATCTCAATCCAATAAATATTTCATGTAATTTAATGAATTTTGGAAAAGTAATATATGGATCACTATTCATCTATAAAATTAATTGGATGGATTAAATTTAATCTATTATTTATTTTCATTGCGATGGATGAATTTGATGAATTTATTTTTAGATGTATCGAATGAATGATAGATAAATAGATTAATTAAATTGTCACCCAAACGGACCCTTAATTATAATTCGAAAAGCATGTGTATATATACCTTCTTCTGTGCTGTTCCAGTTAACTTTACACAGTGCAAGCCATAAAACTTTGTGACTAGAGCATTGTCAAATACTCGAAAATGATTGTAATAAGCTGGAAGCATTCTCAAGAGAGCCTGCATGTATAGGGAAATTAATTAGTAAGAAAGTGGGTTGATTAATTTGGAAGAAATTTGAAAATATAGACAAGGCTCACTTTTGCCTCAGCTTTCTTCATAGTCTTGATCATGTAGCGATCATCATTGGTGAGGTAAAAGAAGCTCCCACTTTTTCCAGGAGAGGAAAGTTCTCGAAGTGCATCATTTCCACATATAGATATCATGTAATCTGCTGGATCCACCTTGAATAACTTCCTAAGAGTTCTGAAACCAGAGTTTCATACACAACAACATCATTAATAACTACGTCAAATTTTAAACATAGGGTTCTTTTTTCTGTTCAGTATCAAATAAATTAAGTGTTTTTCATTTTATTTCCTATGAAACTTTTTCAACACTTCTAATTCCTACATATTCTCAACATTACCAATACAGTCCTCGCTGATCGATTGTTTTTTTTAGTAACCTAATCTGTAACTTTATTTAATCTGGTGTAGCATTTGATCACATCAGGCTACTGATAAAAGGTATATCATCAAATAATATTTATAACTATTAAAAAAATATAATTAACTATTATAAAGTTAAAAAGAAAACTAATAATGTTTATATAATCAACACTAATAAAATATAAAAATAATAGTGAAATAAAATTATAATTATAAAAAATAATGAAATAATATTAATAAATATAAATAGTAAACAATTATAATAAGGTTAAAGTAATAACAAAGATAATATAAATAATACTAATAAAACATAAAATTATAATTATAATAAAACCCTATAAAATTATTATCATTATAAGCATGGACGGAGCCAAACTTAAATAATTGGACAGTTAATTATGAAAATTAAAGTTCATTCAATAAACATATATTCTTCAAAATTCATATAAAATACTCGTATATAATTATATAATTTCAAAATAATTTAAGAACATATGATAAAAATATATTTTTAACATTGAAAAAATCTAAACAATTTTTTAAAGATGCAATATTATAAAAATAATAAATTAAAAATCAATCATTAATTTCATCACCGTGAATTTTCACGAATTTATAATCAAAACTAGTGTTAATATTAACCATATTTTTTTACGAGAAAGTTCTATTAATTATATTTAATAATCTACTATATTAATATTATTTCTTATATCTAAAAAGTTTCATATCACTTAAAAATTAAAGTCAATGATAACTTATAAATATTTTTCTCCTTAAACTATTTGAAATGTCTTTCCAAGGATTAAAACATAACGGATCAAAAGTACCAAAACGAACAATAATTTAAATGTGTTCACCTTATAATGATATTGACCAATTTATGACTGAAATATTTGTGTACTAGAAAAAGGTTTGGGGCAAGAGGTAATATATAAACACTTTCTTCGCTTAATCCATCAAAGACACTTGAACTACTTAACCAATTTAGAGGTTGATCAATGAAAAGGTGCTATACCTCTTTATTATTGATTAAAAATAATTATTTCACTAAAAATATAATTATTGGCAGCTTTAAATAATAATAACATCTTATAAAAAGAAAAAAAAGGAAAATATAAACAATACTCAAATATCTTGTTTATAAATAAAAAAATACTTTGATATTTTCAATAAATATTACAAAAATAATTGAAATTTTATTAAAATACCTTAATATTATTATTTAAATAGTTTTATAACATAAATAAAAATAATTATCTATATATATATATATATATATATATATACAAAAATTTAAACTAAGTCCTTCTTTGATTACATGTATTAAAAATTCCAATAAGATTAAAATATTAAAAAACATAATATGAAAATGCTAAAAATAAATATATGAAAGAGTAAAATAAAACAGTAAAATTATAACTAATGAGACTAATAATTATTATAAATAATAAAAATTAGTACATGGTTATAATAATAATAATATTATTATTATTAATAATAATCGTAAAAATTATCAATATGTTCTAGCACAATTTACAAATAGTTGGATTCTTTAAATATGTGGGCAGAGTTTTTTTTTTGGACATCTGGACAAAGATTTTATTATTTGATCGTAAGCATATATATATATATAATATTTTGTTAGATGACACATAATTCACTAGACTAATTTATACATTTTTGTAAGGAATTAGACTCAGTTACAAGATATCCTTGATAATAATGTAATAGTCTAAAATATAAAATAGAAGAAAATACTTTAAACAGGATAATAGGATTAAAAATCACACAGAATAGCAGATAAGTTTTATTTAAATATTTGAAAATAATAAATAATATTATAGAATAAAAACAAAAGTATTACTTAAAAATATAATTATTTTTCTCAATTAAGAATAAACACGTATAAAAATAAAATCAAAACACATCAACTTTAATTATTTTGTGATGTGTGAAAATTAAAAGTAAAGAAATTAAATATAAAATTATGTGTATGTATATATTATTATTATCTTTTAAAAATTAATATAAATAAAATAAGGCTAATAATAAATATAAAAAATACTGATAAAATAGAAAATAAAAATAAAATAATCTAATATTACAATCTCCAGAAAAAAAATCTACGTATGAAAAAATTCTCATAATACAAAATCTAAAATAGTAAAATAAAATATATAAAAAATAAAACAATAAATTTACACTGTGTTATTATTATAATTATAAAAAGTAGTAAAAAAATATGTCATAAAAATAAAGATTTTTCAAGTATTATAAAAATTGCGCTGGTACCAAGACTAGTTTGTTGCAAAATCATATTTTGTTTAGTTTTAATCCTTGACAACACAAGGACTAAAAAAATTCAAGAGACTAATGAAAATTATGATTTTATAGGAAGAAACAGTATTTCTAACGGAGAAAAATATAGAATTAAACGCACTCGTAAACTTTTACTCATGGGAATGCTAACACTAACAGCAAACTAAAAACACTAGATTAAGTAGGTGTTTGGTTTGACTTATGGTGAAATATTTGTTTGATTTAGCAGCTTTGGTAGTATCAGAAGGCACATATTCTGTAAGCATGAGTAGGGCTTACCTAAACACTACTGGGCAATAGTCCTTCCATTTGAACTCACATGATGGGTGTGGTGGAGTGTATTTGGATCCTTCTGGGGGAAATCTTGTCCACACTTTTTCCTTGGAATCGAAAGCTGAAGGCTTAAGATCAAGTGATGCTGAGGGGGCTGGTCTTCCAACAGAATGCCTATATGCAGCAAATCAAAGAAATTATAACCATTAATTAACCACTGACAATTGCTACAGGGAAGACACACTGAGAAACCAAAGTACCACATGAACTTAAACATTAAAGAAAAAGCATGTAAATGGGGTGCATGTTGTCATTGTTTTGTAGAAATGAAATGTCATGTTTGTAAGTTTAATTATACAAAATCATAATTAAGTACTCCACTTTTCATGAGATTAAATATAAAGAACCATTGCTGGAATTCTGCATACTTGTGAATGATCAGTTAGATAATGTAGAATAATTACATAATAATTATTATGCATAATTGATGTGATATTCACTTTAAACTTAAGTTCTCATCGATAAATTTAGTTTTGATTATTGTCTAAAATGCTTTATATAAATGAAGATGTTTGTGTGTTTTTAAATTCATATATATATATATATATAATATATATATATATATATAATATATATATATATTTATATTTATTTATAATATATTACCTTTATTCTTATATATAAGATTTTCTTTTTACTTTTTTACATGCTTTTTAAATTTTATAAGATTATTTTCTAATTGTCAATTGTATTATTAACTATTAAAAATAAGGGCCATAAACAAATAAAAAAATAAAAAAATGAAATAAAAAAATGTATAGTTAACTTTAGAATAGTATTAAGATAAGTAAAAAAATATAGACACCAAAAAAGAATATGCTTTTACTAATGTTATATATATCTTCTCTAAAATATTATTGTTTAATTAATAATTATTTTAGACAAAACATAATAAATACTTAAAATTGATTAGATAAAAAATTTTCGTGTTAAAATTGAAGAAGATAAATAAAAATAGAGATATATTTTTTTCAAATATTAATTAATTAAGTAAAAAAGTGAGGGGGTAGTATATATAATGGTAGGAACCTGATTCCGAGTTGCAAATTGAGCATGAGTTCATAATTTTTGTGTCCTTTGCATATGGTCTCTCCTTGCCTCCTTGATTTCCTGGGTGCTTTAAGTGTTTGGAGATGATGAGTCCCTTTAGCAATAGAACCATCAAGGCTCAAAGCCAACAACTCTTGATCCAAAACACCCTCTTGTACTGTTGGAGTCTTGGAGCCACTGAAGTCACCCTCAACACCACCCCACATCTGCATCCTGTCGTTCGGCCTCTCAAGCCCCACGCTCACCCTCCCATCCACCGACTTTCTCCTCGGCTTCGCACCATCCCCTCCCTTCGTGGACCTCCACACCGCAAGCCTCTTCTGCGACGGCAAGATCGAAACCTTCTCCCCCACACAAACCTCGTACCCACCCAATAACTCGTCGAACACATGCTGAGGATCCCACTCGAGGTGGCCCTCATGCGACGATGGGTAGAATGTCCCACTTTGGTCCCTCGGATCCTTGCTCCAGTTCCCCACGTAGAAACTCCCATCACTACCCCACTTGAAAGTCCCATTCCCCTTTGGCAACCCATCTTCCCAATACCCATCGTAGCTATTCCCATTGCCCCAAACGAAACACCCTTTGCCCCAAATGCTCCCATTCTTCCACTCCCCAACGTAGTAGCTCCCATCCTCCCACTCGTACCTCCCTTGCCCCTCTTGCATTCCCCTCCTCCATTCCCCATCGTACTCGTCCCCATTCGCGAACCTCTTCACCCCATGCCCATGTTTCAGGTTCATCACCCATTGCCCCTTGTATGTTTCCCCGTTCGAGGCTGTGTATGAGCCTGTCCCATCCATGTAACCACTCTTGAATTCCCCCTCATAAGAGGGCCCATTGGGCCAGGTGAACCTCCCCTTTCCCATGGTTTTCCCCTTGAACCATTCTCCCACGTACATGCACCCATCCGTCCACAAATATTTTCCCTTCCCATGGGGAAAATTATCTGCCCATTCTCCCTTGTAGTAATCACCATTCGGAAGAACCCTCTCTGCTTGGTATAGATCTGACCCATCGCTTCCATTTGCCTCGTCATTAGTATTATTATGATGATCATCTTCATCTGCATGGGCCACGTACGTTGACCCAAATATGCTGTTCGCACGCTTCTTCGCCACTGCTTGTGTCTTCCTCACCGTTGCTTCCCATGCCTTCATCACACTGCTATCTCTACCCATCATCGTGCTTTGATTTTCCTTCTTCTTAGACAAAAACTCTCTCAATTGTTACATCAGCAGCCAATGCGAAATTTCAAAGATGCATGCATGGCTTTCTGGGTGAGAGACCCTTCTTTCTGCTGAACCCGATCGACCATGCATTTTGGCGTTTAAAATTTTGGTGTCTCGTGCTTCCAAAATATCTGGGGTCGTTCTGATATCCCATTCCTTAATTGGTCAATTTTGTTACCCAAATTAATTTTTTTTTCTCTTAAGGCATTGTTGTGATATTCTTCAACCGAAACCGTGAAAAATTCATCAGAGGTGCAGCTTTAATTTTTCTCCCATGTTTGAATTGTTTTCCGTGAGAGAGAATCGTTCATCCCCTACAACCTCTGGGAACCGCGACAAGGGACATGTTCTAAATCAGGGGTGTCTGATCACTATTCTTAGGTTATAAAAAAAATTCCGTGAGTGTTAATTTACTATGCGCGCAGTCATTGGCAAATCCTGAATAGTTGACACCTAGGTCTCATAATGAACTAATTTTAGTACAAGGAAATAGAAAGAGTTTATATTAAAGTAATTATAACAAAAATAACAAGTTCTTTTTAGAACAATAATTAAAATTTTAAAATAATAATAGAGAATATTTTTTTTAAATAATTTATTTTCTAAGTATCCTCCCCGTTAATGAAACAATGTTTTAAAAATTGGATCGGTCATTAAATTGATTAAGACACTGAATTAGTGTGTTAGAAGTTGAATTGGTGGCCATGGATCACTAATTAAATCACATGACCTAATCTCTATTATTATTTTTTTAAAAAATTTCATGTCATAAATATTTCATACTTATAAATTTCAATAATATATTCATACAGTATTTTAGAAAAGCCTAAAAATAATACATAACACATTTTATATATAATATAATTAAATATATAATTTTAACTAAAAAAAGTATACTATAAACATTATTTATGCCATATACATATAAAGTAAGTATAAGTTGCATGAATTAATTTTTAATTTTGAATTAGATATATTATATATTAATATATTAATTGTTGTTTGATAGTTACTATTTAAGTTTCATTAAGTCACTTTGGTTTAGTGGTGAAATGAAAATCCAATTTCATGTAATTATGTGGGATCAAATCTTGTCTTGCCCAAATTCCTTATATATTTTTTTGAATTTTTATAAACATTTGAAACAATCAAAGCCTCAGAAAATGCAATATCAAAGCCTCGAAAATACAAAAATGGGGGACGTGCACATCACAGTAGAATTGGGGGACTGAGGACGTACAATAGCAAAAGTGGGACTAAACATGGGAAGTGCAACCATTCAAAATGTTTGAAATCAATCCGACTTGTAATCCACTGGTTCACTAGTTTATCTGAAAAATCGGTCGAGTCACACCGGTTCAAAGCAAGTCAATGACATATTTGTTCTAACATTAGGTTTGAATCGGTCAGTTCGTCAAATCCCGGTTCAATCGGTTTGACTAGCTTTGAGCTAGTTTTTAAAACTAAGGAATGAAGTCTAAATGTTTCTTCACACTTAAAAAGTAATTATCATGTATTTGGGGAATATCTTTAGGATACATCCCTTCCACTCTCACGTTGGCCTATGTTCGACCATGGCATAGGGTCAAACATAATCTGGCCACAAACATGGTTGAACACATTCATCTAAAACCCCATGTACAAGCATATATCTTCTCGATCGATTTGTCATGAAACACTAGAAACCCTTTCAAGGAAAGGGCAAAGATGATGACCCCTCGATCCTTATGGAGGCAGAATATGATTCGACCATTCCAAGGGCCAAAGCCTATTTGACGTACAATAAGTGTAGAAAGAGGGAAATTAAAAGAACATTGTGGAAGAGGGAAAATATAAGAACACTTTGATTTGTATACTAGTTCACTCAACTATAACTCCGTCCAATTACCTTCAAACACAAAGGGTTTCATTACCTTCAAAAAATTTTACAACAATTATTCTCACCACCACTTTTGGCTTAGAAACACAACCAAACTTTGTAGTATTCTTTAACTAGTCTCTTTAGGCTTACAAGGTAGGTAAAGTTTGTGGTTGCATGATAATCTTACAAAGAGGATATCACTACTGCAAGATGTATTATCTATATCGGTTCTACGAGATAATCTACATCGATTCAAAAACTAATGTAGAATAGGGTGACTTAGAAATACATATACTTCTACATCGTTTTTAGAAACTGATATAGATTTGTACACAAATTTACATCAGTTCTATTAACAATCGATGTAGATTGTATTTTTTTTATAAAAAAAAATTTATTTATTTTTTAGATTTTTTCTAATTACCTGTAATAAATATATATATATATATTTGCATTTTTTTTTTAAAAACTTCATTTATATTTTAGATTTTTTCTTATTACCTGTAATAAACACACACACACACACACACATATATATATATATATATATAAATCTTAAGTTGTTCCACAGGTACAAACCTGAGAAAACACAGTACAAGGATACCAAAAAATTCTAAAGATCCAAATATAAAGGCACAGAAACATAGTACATAATTTACACACAAATGTAACTTCGTATCGGCTACAAGTTGTACTACGCCAGACAACTAGATGGCCTACAGAAGAAAAGCCACTGCTTTATATTAACATCAAACTTTAAACACAACACACAATAACCTGGCTTATTTATCAAAACATCCATCAGTTCATAAGTACAAAACAAAAGACAGGGATTGAAAACAAACTATGAAGGATCTAAGAACAAGACTTCATACCAGCCAGCAGAAGCTCGTGTCATTCCCAAACACACATGTAGCTTAAGATTTGTACATAAGTTTCCATTTGTGATCATCATCCCCTACTTTGAATTTGTGTGTATCAGGTGGTGTGCATGCCGTGCAGTAGTGTAAGATGAAATCGCAGAGCCAGTCACGCCCAACGAGTGTTTAGCAAATCCAAAGCTCTTTCTAGTTACCAGCCACACCGTGTAAATGAATCCGATCCAGCCTGGTTCCTATTGACACTACAAGAAAACTTGTCTTTAGAGACAAAATTTTTAGTCTCTAAATTAACAAAATCAGTTACTAAATCAATAAGTGATTAAATTAGATACCAATTATAGAAAGTAGCTAAACCACTGGTTGCTAATTTTATCTACCAATCTAAAGTCTGATTTAAAAACTAATTTAATGACTAATTTTTTTATGACCGATTTTGTGACTAATTTTATAATGACCAATTTATTGACCAATTTTTAATGACCATCTCATTGACCAATTTTATAACGACTATTTTAATTATCAATATTATAGTAACCAATTTAGATACCAATTTTGATAATAACTAATTTAGTAACCTATTTTATAATGACTAACTTAACAACTTATTTTGTAATAATCAACTTAGTGACTGATATAATAACTAATTCTAAAGTAACTATTTTAGTGACCAAATTTTAAAATAATTGAATTAGTGACCCATTTTTCAACCCATTTTTCAATGACTCAAAGTGACTGATATAATATAAAATAAAAAAAAAGTAGTCGCTAAATTTTTTCCTTATTCATCTTTCTTATTTATGCCATTTTCTTTCATATTTATTATCTTCTTTATTCAAATTCACCACATACCTAACTTCAATTATTTTTCTACTAAAACATAATAATTATTTAAGTATAATATTAATTATTTATTTACTTCACATATTTATTCTATGTTAAACTATTATGCAAAAAGTCATCATACACTATATAATAACATGAAAATTAAGTAATTAAATTTTTTAATTTTTTAAAACTACACATAATATCCACCAAACATACAATCCTCACTATCTATTTGAGAAAGCGATGTTTAAGATGATGACCATCTAGCATTCGAACAACAATAGTAATTGTTTCATTACATAAAGGTGGTTCCTTGGAAAACCTAACTTCTTTCTTATCAAGCATTTTCCCCATTTCCTGCAATCATGAGGCACACAAAATTCAGTACAAGAATTTAAATAGTCATATAGCAATAAGAGTCATGCACCCACACAATGGACACAAAAGGCAAAGATTGTCACACAAAGCAGTACATAAATTAGCAAACCAAAATTTCTTAGGTACCTAACATTTGGTTTGCTAAAAAAATTTCAAACAAGGTATACCACATAGGTCAAACATTTTAATATATCATAACCCGGTGACATACCTCTAGGGAAGTTGCAAAATCAAATAAAATTAGATTCTAAGAAACAAGTTAAAAAAGTGTTTGGTGTTGGGGACAGAGAGGAATAGGATCTGAGATTCAGAGATAGACAGCGAATTTATCAACCTCAAGATTTACCATAGGTGAATATCATATCTGTGGCTTGAACCTTATTGGAGTTTGGTCATTGAATATTGGAATTCAGCTTCAAAATAATTGAACTTAATCTCGTTTTCATTTCTAGATTTATTTATAACCTAAACCAAAAGTTTGTTAACACAAAAATAAAAGCGATCCACAATTATTATTATTATTATTATTATTATTATTATTATTATTATTATTATTATTATTATTATTAGATTAGTTTGCTTTTGTTTTCTTTCGAGAGTTGTTCTAAAGTGACTTCTTTTGTTCTCACGTATGCATTCGAGTCCAAATTCATACAGAGGAATAGGAGGATCAGTTATTTTATAAAATGATTTTTGTATATTACAATTCTTCCTTTGAACCTAGAGAAACTCTGCCCAGACCATCCGTGAAACGGTGAAACCATACATAGAGCTAAGCTAGACTTTCCTGTTTAAGGTAGGTCCGTTGACTCCAGCAAGATCAATATATTACAAGGGAAGTGTTTTACTCAATCTTATACGAAAAATTCTTTGCAATTTCCTCTTGAAAAAAATTATAGAATGCCTGGTGGCCTTCTGTATTAGTTACTGAAGGTTTTTCTGGCATTAATAAATCCACTTAAGCCACCACACTAAAGGTTAGGAACAATAGAAATTGTATACAGAAAGTTAGGAACAATTAAGAACAACTAAAGGTTTCAATTATAAGAAAAATTAGACATCAATCCAAACAACTTTCAAAACTCAAAAGTTGAAAAAACAGCTCAATAACAATTTAAAATTAACAAAAGAATATCAATGATTTCAATAATACAAGTAAACAACTATAATAGACATTGTGATATATCATAAATAGTGAGAAAAATATCTCAAGCACCACAAATAATGAGAAAAATACCTCGACAAAATTGAGGAGATAGTGGCTATGGCACAAGCATCAGAGCGAGACTATAGAAGAATCCACGATATCCATTATCATCACATAAAAAAAAAAGATAAAAAAAGAAAAAATTACCTCAAGGTGAATATGTATCTAGTAAAATGGGTAGAAAAAGAAGAAAAAAGAATATAGGGTTTGAGCATTGAGTAAAATGAGTAGAAATAGAAGAAGAAGAAGAAACAATACCTGAGGGTTTGAGCAAATAAGTTGAGTTGCGCAGACTAAAAAATGAGTGAATGAAGTGTGAGTAAACTTATTGATTATAAATGTGAAACAGAAAAGCAGAATGAGAATTAGAAATGAATATTACAAAGAGAGTGAGAGAAATTAGAATGGAGAAGACTCATACCACACAAGCATCTTTTCTGTTACTCCACGTTATTTTTTAATAAGACGCTCCATTCTCATGCTTTTTATTGTGTCTTCATTGGTCACGTGAAGACTCCACACGTGGACAAGAAGAAATCGTGAATACTCCTATACTTGACGCGTAATTTTGTGCTTCTCATGGAGGCTCTTCATCTCAACACGCAAATATTTCATTTTTTTTTCTAAAAAAAATAAAAATATAATATAATTGTATAAGTATATATTTGTGCAATACATTTTAGAAAATAATTGTTTAACCATTTGTCTCTAAAACAATGTTTATGTCCATCCAAATTTGAGTTTTTATAAGTTTAAAAATAAAAATTTAATGATTAGGCTTTGATAGTTATAAAATTAAATTGATATTTATTTTATTTTTAAATAAAGTAAAAAAATATAATGTAATTGAATATTTATGATGTTTATTAATATTTTAAATTTTTATTAATTGATTTACTAAACTAAAATATTACATATATAATATTAATATTTTAATCTTATTAATTTTAATCATATACTTAAAAAAACAATTTGTAAAATGAGTTAACAATGACAAAAAAAAATATCAATGTTTAGTGTATTTTAATTAGAGTCCAATTTATCTAAAATAAATTAACAATGAGTGAAAAATTAGTTGCCTATTATATTTCTAAAAATTAACAATGGGATTTGGTAAGTTAGACAAAATATAAGTTGATTGGGCTTTGATAATTATCAAAAAGATTGATATTTATTTATACATATGAATCACACCTCACCATGCATCATATATCATACATACATGATCCAAATTTTCAACTTTAAACATGCATAAGCATCAATTATTTATAAACATATTCACGCTCGGCGCAGCCTAAGCTCGCCCAGCCTAATCCCAACCTAAGAGTCCTAAAACTCATTCACACCCGGCGCGTTCAACTCACGCTTGGTGTCCTTGAGATAGACTCCTAAGAGTCTCCACGCCTGACGCATCCAAAACACGCCTGGCCCAACATCCAACCCGAGAGCCCTAAGCTCTTCCATGTCCGGTGCGCTCAACCTGCGCCCGGCCTAAATCCCAATCAGAGAGTTCAAAACTCTCATCCAAACTGACAAATCCAGCCACATGCAAACACAACAAAATAATGCATAGGCTCCATACAACACAAAAACAAACTCAAAATCTACATGCACCCATCTGATGCATCAATTCCACCCAAAAACCCCATTTTTCCCAAAACCCCGAAAAATGAGCGAATTCTCCGATCCAGCCATGGATCCTCAACTTTCATGCATCAATTGAGTTTCTAAACTCACATGCAACTTAAATAACAAACATTCTAGCTTCCCTTACCTGAAGGTTGGCTCAGAATAGCCAACAACTGTGACGAAATAGAATTCCCTTCCAAAGCTCAACCCGGAACTTCAATCCTCCCAAAGCAAGCTTTCTAATCTGAATTTCAAGAAAAGTCAGAAGGAGTTAGTGATCTAGAGGAGAAAAGGAGTCAAACAGAGAAATTTGGGAGAGAAAGGAGCTCACTGACCCAGAGACCTTCTCTCTAAAACTTCTCTCTAAAAACTC